GTTCATTTAAAAATCATAATAAATACCTTATATCCAGAAATTTCATTTATCCTCAGTGTTTCTTCTCTGAATGGCACCTGGCTTTTGAGCTTGAAATATGGCTCTGTGAGCTTCACTGTGTAGCTGAATTTCTCTGATTTTTAATAAGCTCGAAAAAGCCATGAACTCAACAGAAAAGTATCTGTTGTAATGGAAAACAGGTCTACAGATAGTGATAATAAAATCATTAAAGAGCTCGTATCATGCATTAGCTTTAATCCTCTACAGAGAACTTCTAAGAAAGAGCACATCTGAGTTGTCTGGGCCACCTTTCTGCTCCTCCTTTACTCAGACCAGCACTTCTCAAAAGTATGTCCAGGACCTCGATGCCCTTTTAGGGCGTCTGCCAGGCCAAAACTATTTTCATAATAATACTAAGATATTACGTACCTTCTTCACTCTCATTCTGTCATGGACGTACAGTAGAGTTGGCTAAAAAAATCTTGTTTATGTTGCAAACAAACAACGTCATAGAAAAAGAAATCAGATTTGTGGTGGGCAGAGGGGAAATTGGATGCGGGCGGTCCAAAGGCACAGACTCCCAGTTATAAGTTCCAGGTACGTAACGTTACAACAAGGTCAGTGTAACTAACACTGCTGTGTGTTATATATGAAAGCTGTTAAGAGAGCAGATCTTGAGAGTTCTCATCACAAGGAAAAAAAATTTTGTATCTATTTGAAATAATGGATGTTCACTAAACTTGCTGTGATAATTATTTCATGATGTATGTAAGTCAAATCATCGTGCTGTACACCTTAAACTTCTGTAGTGCTGTATGTCAATTATATCTCAATACGACTGGAAGAAAAAAATCTTGTTTATGTTAACATAGTGGATTTATTATGATGACTTTTAAATGAATTAATAATCATTTTTTCTTTTTCCAGTTTTAATTTCCAATATAGTAAATATCAGTGAGATATAACCCACATACACAAAAGCTGTACTTTAAGAATATAAAGACTCCTGAGTCCAAGGGGCTTGGAAATGCTGATCTAGAGAGTCTTTAAAGTGGGTGATTAGGGCTTCCCTGGTGGCGCAGTGGTTGAGAGTCCGCCTGCCAATGCAGGGGACGCGGGTTCGTGCCCCGGTCCGGGAGGATCCCACATGCCGCAGAGCGGCTGGGCCCGTGAGCCATGGCCGCTGAGCCAGTGCGTCCGGGGCCTGTGCTCCACAACGGGAGAGGCCACAACAGTGAGAGGCTCATGTAGCGCAAAAAAAAAAAAAGTGGGTGATTAGCCTTGGTATTTCTTGCCTTTTTTTCTATTTCAGAACAAAAATTATCTTATTATTTTCACCTAATTATTATTGCTTCTGTCTTTCTCTGTAAACTGTATATTTCTCTTTCTATTCTATAACCAAAATGGATAACTTCCCTTATTACAAGTTGTAAGATTTTGGAATTGTTTCCTTCTCCCATTTCAGGGCCATCTGAATTAGAGATGAACATAGGGGGACCTCAGTATAGCCAACAACAAGCGCCTCCAAATCAGACCGCCCCCTGGCCTGACAGCATCCTGCCGATAGAACAGGCACCGTTTGCCAGCCAGAACAGGTGAGTCTTGAGCGCTCAGGAGGTCCCGGAGAGTAGAGTTCATGAGTGCCGTGAGTTATCTCAGACCTAGGCCAGAAGTTAGTCTGGTCCTTTTGAACAGTTGGTGCCTGACGAGTTTTCATGTATTCAAACTATATCATTTACTGGACTGGGAGTACAGGGGTTCGGGGGGCCGGGGGCGGGGGATCCAAAAATCAGTTTGACCTAGCACATGCCTTTAAAGAAGTTATAATTTAGTTGGAAAATAAAATATGTAGACTAATTAATAACTGTAATATGAGCTAGTATGTACTATAAATGCCCTAAGAGAAACAAAACATATTTCAAGGGATCATCCAATTGGGGTGATTGGGGAAAAAAGCTTCAGAGTCTTGAGTAAAGGTATCATGTCAGGAGGCAGAGATGGCAGGAAGCCAGTCCATCTGGCAAAAGCAGAATAATCAGAGTCCTGGAGGTCACAGAAGCAACACAGTATGTTTAGGGTAACAGAGAATAGTCTAGTTTTATGTTACATATATTTTACCACTTTAAAAGAAAAATAAAAGTATCAGAAGATTTGGCCAGGGACTTCCCTGGTGGTCCAGTGGTTAAGACTCCCTGCTTCCGGAGGAAAACTAGCAAATGATGGAGCAAAAATGCACATTTCATCTGTTGCATTCAAAGTGCTATAATTCAAAAATGTGTCAGTGAAATAAATGCCTGAATGTTTAAATTTTCATAAAAAGTAACCTTTAAAATATATTCAGATAAGAAAATGTTTTGACCTGTGTATACTTTCCAAAATCATTCAAAAAATTATTGGGGTCTTAAATTTGCTGTATTTTAAAAACACTGTTGCATACATTCATTTTGTATCAAGTAAAGTCACAAATCCTCCTTTTCCAGCTTAAGAAAATATATTGCATTTACCTTAAATTTTCATGATTTAATAAACATTTAATCTTACTAATTTTTAATGCTTAATAGGAAAGAAAACTAAACCAAAGATTTTTTTTCAAAGTGTTCCCATAGCTCGCAGTTGAGATGATGACAGTGATTTTTGCACAGATTCTTCTTCAAGAATTCAATTCACAGCTATTGACTTTTTTCCTCCCTCTTATAAAAGAAATAAACTATACTGATATATTCAAAAAAAAAAAAAAGACTCCGTGCTTCCAATGCAAGGGGCATGGGTTCGATCCCTGGTCAGGGAACTAAGATCCCGCATGCCACAGGGCACAGCCAAAAAAGAAGATTTGGCTGGAAAAGTAGATTAGTAATGGAATAGATTTATAGAGAGTCTTAAATACCAAACTCTTCTTCAGCCCTTTTTCTTTCTTTCTTTCTTTTTTTTAAATATTTATTTATTTACTTGGCTGTGCAGGGTCTTAGCTGAAGCACGCAGGATCTTTGTTGCCTCGTGCAAGATCTTCACTGAGGCACGCAGGATCTTTTTAGCTGCAGTGTGTGAACTCTTAGTTGCAGCATACGGGATCTAGTTCCCTGACCAGGGATGGAACCCGGGCCCCCTGCATGGGGAGCACGGAGTCTTAACCACTGGACCATCAGGGAAGTCCCTCAGCCTTTTTTCATTAAGCCGTTGAAGAAGTTTTTGGAAAAAGGAAGTGGTATATGATCAAGTTTGATTGAATTTTTTTGATTCTGATTATTAGTCTAATCATTTTTGTTTCTTTGTAGGTAATCTTTTCTAATTGCTTTTGAAATATTTTTATAATTGCTATACAGTAGTCTTACTATAGTGTGTCTAGGTGTGGATTTATTTATTTATACTGCTTGGTATTTGGTGTATATTGTGCTTATTTTATCTGTGGATTCATCAGCTCTGGAACTGTAGCCATTATCTCTTTATGTACTGCCCCTCCGCCATTTTCTCTATTCTTTCTTTCTGGGATTCTGGCAAGACATACGTTAACCGTCTCTTTCTACATCAGATTTTTTAAAACTTCTACCCTCCTTATTTCTTAACCCATGTATTTTCCATCTCCCTGTCTCTCTGTACTACATTTGGGATAATTTATCCATATCTATATTTCATTTCATTAATTATCTCTTTAGCTATGTTTATACCAATTATATTTTTCATTTCTAAAAGTTCTGTTTGCCTGGTTATTTTTCATAGTCTCTTACTGTTTGCTTATTTTTGTGATTCCATCTTTGTATCATTAAACATCACATTCATCATTACTTTCTAAATTTCTTGATTCGATAATTCCAATATCTGGATTTCTTGTGGTTCTAAATCCAGTGATTGACTCTTGCTCGTGGTGGCCTGTTTCCCTGAGTAATTTGGTAATCTTTCATTGGGAGTTCCTAGTTGATCTTTGTCAATGATCCAGCAGGGGGTTAAAGTTGAAGACACTTTTCATGCAAGGGAATTTGCATTGGTCTCTGCTGGAGGTGAGGGTCTCCGCTCACCACTCTCCTCAGTGCAGTCCAGCACTCTCCACTCAGCTCTTTCACTTGGCTGTGGCCCAGTGCCCCAGCTCTCAAGGATAAAACTTAGGTGTTGCTCAAGTTTTCACTCAAAGATGGTTCTTGTTCCATTATTCCCTGCAAAGACAGTATCACCGTCATGTTATATGCATAATCCCATGGTTTTTAAGCAAAGCACTGGAAGCAGACGTTGCACAGGCGACCTTGAGGCCTATGTGATGGTGCTGCTTGGCCACTTGGGTGGGCAAAGAGCCCCGAGGCAGAGGAGTAGTTAGGAGCCTAAGCAGGAGTCAGTGTGGGCACTTAAAATGATGGAGGCAGTGTTTCTGGTCAGTAACCATGTTAGAAAACAAACTGGAGGAATTCTGCCTTGAGGCTCACATGTAGAAAGTTCGGGTTGGAGCCTCAGTGAAGACCTTCCAGACTGATCGTTTTGTCCTTTGGGGATTATTCTAGTCTAAAATTATGAGATACTTTTATCAAATTCACAAATGATGAAAGCAGGGTTTCTCAAATTTTATAAGGGTAGAATATTTCCAGAGCTTCTTGTTTAAAAAAACAAAAAATACTGATTTCATAGTGACTCTTTTTACCCTGGGATAAAATGCTTTTGCATAGCTCAGAACTGTGGTGTGGTGCCCATTTTCCTTTCTATATCTTTTTTTTTTTTTTTTTATAAATGAAAAGTAACTTTATTACTGCGGAAGCGAAGAATGTATACAAGAAAATCTAGATTCTTTCTCCTCATGCACTACTTTGGTAATAAAGTTCCAAATATCAACTATGAAGATACTTACAAGGATAAATCTTTCTTAACATGTGCCCATTTACTGTGTGGTGGACATTTTTTCATAGAAATCATATACTTAAACTAAATATAATCTTATAGTTTACAAGAAGCTTAGAACATTGTATTAACAGAAGACGAGATTATATTTTACTGCAAAATATTATAAAAGTGATACAATTTTGTGGCTCTTAAATGTTTAATTACTTGAGTTGAACAGGGGAATGAAGAAGAAAAAAAGCCCAACAGAAAAATCATCAGGACACGCCTCACTTTAAGATTTTTTGTATTCGATCTGTTCTACTTTCACGTCGTCTCCAATTAGCTGATACACGTAAGCGACAACTGTAGAAGCCTGGATATCCATCAACACAAATGAAGGAATAATGTTCGTTTCCAAGGCATTATATGCTCCAGTGGCAGAACCTGGATTAATGTAGAATTTATTTTCATGCTCACGTGCTTCAAATTTATGTGTGTGTCCTGAAATAAGGATATCCATATCAAACTGCCTCTGCAGCAGGGCTAACCTGGCCACATCTCCCCGTGGAATAACTTCATGTCCATGGATCAGACCAATGTTGAACTGCCCAACAGTTACAACTTTCTGTTCTGGATAATTCAGATTCGCATCGAAGTCTCCTCTCACGGTATGAACATCACCAGCCAGAGTCTTGAGATAGTCATAACTCTCTTTGGTACAAAGGTTTCCAGCGCAGAGAATGTGCTGAATCTTTCCTGGTACCAGCAGTTTTTTAAAATTTAGCTGGCAGACTGTTGCACTGGTGTGGGATGTGCAGGTCTCCTAATAGCAACGCCAACTGGAGATAGAACAGTCTTCATCTTTAGAGGGGGATCCCTTCAGAGATGGATTGAAGTACATAGTTAATGTGGGAAGCATCCTGTCACTGGGCTCTGCTCAGTCACCCCTTTGTATTATCTTAAGAGAGTGGTAAAGGATTCAGAGGATTCAATGAAGTTTTAAAAAAATAACAGAAGATGAATATGAGTCTAGCAGTATTGGACGTGTGTGAAAAAGTTGGGAACTAGTTATTTCACTGAAGGAAAAGATGATTAGGGCAATTGCTTAATAACTGTTTTAGGGAGATAAGGAAGAGAGGGTGCTCGCCAGCTGTATTCCATTCACCTAGCGGGAGAAACTAGTGTCTTCCAACCCCCCTGTGCCTGTGAACCACCTTTGGGATCTCATTGAAAGGCAGGTCTGGGTGGAGCCCAGGATTCTGCGTTCCTAACAAGCCCCAGGTGATGCCAGCACCGCTGCTCCTCCGACGCGCTCTGTGTGGAAGAACAGACCAGAACCGCAGTCAGTCAGTGTGGCTCTTAGCTGGCCTAGCTGCCGAGGGCGGGGTGTGGCCTCCACCACCGAGCACTCTTCTTGGGGATAGAGCATCGCGTAAATAACCTCCGTGATCGTTCTTGGAGGTGGTACTTCCTCGGGGTCCTTCCAGCTCTTTGAGTCTGATTTCGTGGTGTCAGTGAGTATTGCGCGTTTTCTAAATATCTTTATTGGATATGTTAAAAAACACACCCATTTCCATGGAAACCTGCACATAGTAAAAAGGTAGTCGAATAATTAAATCCAGTACCTGAGAGCTGGTTTTGGATGAAATGTCTAAGATTAGTTTCTCAGGGCTTCCCTGGTGGCGCAGTGGTTGACAGTCCGCCTGCCGATGCAGGGGACACGGGTTCGTGCCCTGGTCCGGGAGGATCCCACATGCCGTGGAGCGGCTGGGCCCGTGAGCCATGGCCGCTGAGCCTGCGCGTCTGGAGCCTGTGCTCCGCAATGGGAGAGGCCACAACGGTGAGAAGCCCACACACCGCAAAAAAAAAAAAAAAAAGATTAGTTTCTAGGGAAAACTGGGCCCAACGTTAGGATTTTCACTGTTGCCCAAGCAGAGGAAGGGTTCTGTTAAAGCAAAAATGAGGACCTTCCCGGCTGTCCAGCAGCTGGGGCTCCGCGCTTCCACTGCAGGGGCTGCGGGCTCCATCCCTGGTTGGGGACTGGGATCCCGCAAGCCACACAGCACAGCCAAAAACCAAATAATAATAAAATGGAAGAATTCCGAGTACACGCTGAGGCCAGCTACAGAGTCGGCTGGTTCAGTTTGCTGGGGGCGTTTCTGTGACTTGCCCTGCCCTGTTCTCTTGTTGCTGTCAGTTTTCTTTGTAGAAGAGCGCTGTGGACAAAGCAAAACATTTCCACCACTTTTAAAGTTATTTATTTCCATTTTTCCAGCCACTTACCCCTCTTCTTTTATTTTAAATAATTCAGTTTGGAAGAAATTTATAACCAACTTTATGGTAGTCTTATTGTCATAGAAATCCAGAAATGATGGATAACAAAGGTTCTAACCACGTCTCTCTTTTGAAATAAAAGCAAAGCAGTGCCTTTTTAAAATCCCCTTTATAAGTATCACCATTAATATTTTATATTTTTACTGCCTACCTATTTAGGAATAGGTTTTTAACTGTTTTATGAACCCAGCATTAGTTTATATACACATTTCAGAAAGACAGTAGTTTAGCCCTTTAATCTCTAATGTATTCACATATTTATTTATAGCTGAATTTCCATTTTCTGTAGTTTCATTGTGGTTTTTCTTCCTTTATTCATTTGGTATGTAAAAGAGTTGTTTAAAATATAGCCCCAAATTTATGGATGATTTTTTGATGATTTCTATTCGATTTATAAAAGTGAACAGTAGCTGCCTTTCATGAAAGACTTCCTTTCACATTAAGTTCAAAATCTCTGAGTAATTTGGTTTTCTCTTGTTTGTAGTGTGTCTAAGGGTAAAGGTTCTTTGGTTGATTCTTTCTCATCATGTAGTAGCTGCTACTTTTTTGCAGAATTTTGAAAACACACATGAAAAGTGATAGTATGGTATGATTTCTCAAACAAGAGCTCAGAATAGATCTTATTCCCCTTCTTATTACCATCTTTAATGTCCTGCTAGTCTATAAATAAATGAAAGTGTAGATTTCAAGAAATAAGGTTTTTATTGATGACGGATTAACTACCTTCTGCTAGTTCATTACTTACCATTTTGCCAACTTGGGGCCTCTGTGTGTTCTTCCCTTTATGCCTCTGAATTTTATCCTTGACTTAATATTATTATTTTTGTCAGCCACCGTCTAGATTGTAACTATATTTGTAATTGCCCAAAATGTAGGAAACTAATTTCTTCATTATGTTGGCAGCCATTATAAAGTTGGGATTGGAAGTCTGGGTCAATATTTTTTTCTATAAGCCAAGTGTATTATGATGTTTCTAAGGGAAGTGGTGTAACTCATGGTATGCCCAAATTTGTAATACTAGGCCACAGCGCAGTGTATTTTTCTGAGTATAAACATGTATTTTTCTGAGTATAAGGTATGATAACCTGGCTAGAGCAAGAAGCTTTTATTTTCACTTGCTTGCTGAACCTATGCAGTTCAAGTACTGGTCCAACAAAGAGATTGAAGATGGCCTCACTGGGCACAGTCTAGGGTTGAGGTTTCTAAATAAATGCCAACATCAAGCCATCATAGTGCAGTGAGTGGTACTAGAGTTGAGAGGAGAGTGGGAGTGGTCCAGAGTGTCTGTGAAGGAGAAATGCCGAGCCCGGATGGGAAGGTAGAATTGCAGTTGGAGAAGAGGGTGGGAAATGTGGAACGGGAAGTCTTGGCATCATGGTGGGTATGCGGCATCCTCTGGAAAAAGGCCAGTTGCCCAGCGTGGCTGGGACCCACAGGGAAGTCATGGGCATTACGTTGGGAAAGGTTAGGCTTTACCAAAGTGTGTGTGTCTTTGAATTCCACCACCACCAGCACCCTGTCCCAGGGCCTTAGACATTGCGAGTCAGCTCAGTAACGGGAGAAGGAACCTGACAGCATCGTATCGGGAGAATCAGAGAGAGGCTGTAAGCCGGAAAGTGTCTTGAAGGTCCCAGCTCCAGTTGAAGAGGGCCTTGACCAAAGTGGGAATCTGGGTCAAGCATTGGTTTAACGTTTTTAATTAAAAAAAGAAAAAGCAAATGGGCTATTTTATTATGTGGGAAATCGTTTAGATGCAAATGAGCATCAGTAGTTCTTTTTCTTTAAGCCTTTGGATGTGTCTTCCCGGGGGTGGAGCTGTCTTCCAGAGTACCAGACGGAGTGTCCTCTTCCTTCTGACGCTGGGTTTCAGGCAGGTGCAAACTGGGCAGTCTGCCTTGCCGTGGAGCCCGTGCAGCCTTGCTTGGGTTAAAAGGGAGTCGATTTCACATTAGCCGGTCATCAGCAGAGAGATCTGGGATGGGGGTTGTGGTCGTGTGGGAATAAAAGCTTCTGAAGAAGCAGAAGTCGAAAATTGTGAAATAAAGCTAGAGGAAGAGAATATTAACTAGCATCTTTGGGGAATGAGGTCTCAGGCCTAAGAGAATTTGGTAAATAGACAGCATCCACTCTTGGCTGACTTGAGCTCCTTTGTTCATGAAATTGACCGCATCTAAAGTGGGTCATTGCTCTTGGGGGAATCCCCTCCTCTCTCTGCTTCCCTGACACGCAGATCTGTGGCTGTCCTCCTCCTTGTTGCCGCTTTTCTGTGTCTGCTCTTTCCTCCCACTCCCTGAGTGTGCAGTGTTCTGGTCACAGCTGTGTTTAAAAAGTTGACTCTGGGAGAGTGTGGAAGCACGAAGGGCAATGGGGGAACCATTCCAGTGGCTGATGTCTTCCCGGGAACCGAGGCCATGGTGGGAGAAGAGGCAGGTACAGAGAGAGCCCCGGCCAGGAGCACGGGCCTCTGCCAGCGCTGGCGAGCGCCCTAGCGACGGGAACGCTTGGGTGGAGCGGGGTGGGCAGCGTAGCACACACGCTGGGCTCAAGATGGTACCCCTCACAGTGCCTCGCAGGCTGTGGGACGTGGGCTTGGAGCCGCGGACCGCCGGCGAGCAGGGTCGTCGAGGGCACACTTAGGTGGGTGATTTTCTTCACAAGTGACATGGGCTAAATGGAGAGGATAGAGTGTTTCCAGTGCACTGGGTTAGAACTGTTTGAAACTGACTTTTGGCTTTAATCCTCAGCATTTCAGGATTCTGGGCCAAACTGGCACAAAGCGTATGAAACCGGTTAGATAGGTCATTCATCCCTAGGTGAATCTATCATTGCTTAAGAATGAGGGAACTTACCTGTAAACTTTATCTTCTCCAAAACATATAGTAACTTTAAGAGTACAAATTAGAGTATCATTTCCCCTTTTGCTATTACAGTAACTCAGAAGCTCTTTTTTAAAACTCCCCAAGTTTGTCAGTTAATTTAAATTATAGGAGTTTTATATACCATAGAATTTGGAGTGCAGTGTTACGGTTTTATCACCAGTCACCGTATATAATAACAAACATAATTTGCATGTTCCTGGTCTACTTTTATTGAGTAACTCAGGAAGTCTAACGACCACGCTCCTTGAGGATTTTAATAAATGTTTACAAGTCCCACTTATGCGTGACAGAGAAACGTCCTATCAGTCCAGCCACGTGCAGTCTAACGGCAGCTGATTTCAACAAACTTAATGGAGCTTTTATGCTCATAGTGTCCCTCAGATGGGTCTTCAGAACCTCATGCAAAATGAGACTGCAATCAACTGGCCTTTTTTGCTAAAATTCAGGAAACTCCTTTGACTACTTCAGTGCAAAGTAAACACATATACTCTTGAAGAGTCAGCGTGGATTTGTGGGAACGTAGTGGTCACCTAGGTCGGTGTTGAATCCCGGCTTTGCAGCGTCTGCCTGTGTGATCTCCACCACAGGGTCTGACAAGCTCTCCAGGCCTCAGCGTTGCCAGCTTTAGAGCGGGGGCAGTAAAAACAAAGCTCACAACGTCCGACGCCTAGGTGTGTGTCTGGCTTATCTCCGTTAGGCACTGGATAAAGTCTGTCTATTATTTAGGGTGGATGGTTGTGTCTGGCTGGTATAGTATTTTACTACTTTTGTCTTTAAGGGAAAAAAAAATGTTCTCTAATCAACTAACTTTTCCACGGGCCTGAGATGAAGTTTGTCTCTACAGGCAGCCGTTTGGCAACTCTCCAGATGACTTGCTGTGTCCACACCCTGCAGCGGAGTCTCCAAGTGACGAAGGCGCTCTCCTGGACCAGCTGTACTTGGCCTTGCGGAACTTCGATGGCCTGGAGGAGATCGACAGAGCTCTGGGGATACCCGAGCTGGTCAGCCAGGTGGGCACAGGGCGAAGCTGGTGGGGACCGAGCACTTGCGTGGGCACGGAGGTACCTGTTCTCTTTGGTCGGCAGGTAATCTGCAGCCTGCTTTTTAGAATGCTTTCTTACCTGTTAACAAGCCAGCTCTGTGTGCTGTCTCCCCCACTCCTTGTCACTCCCACATCAAGAATGGAAAATACTGAGAATGAGTTTGACCTGTACTT